AGTTACTGCTGAAAATGCTCTTTAAACAGTCGTTAGTTTAGTTACATCCTGTACTTTGTATCCACATGTCAAATAATACTACGTAAGTCTTCTATTCTTGAATCATTTGTCTTTAACAAGCTGCTTGCAGAGCTGTGGAGAGCTTCATTCGGGATAAATATGAAAAGAAGAAATACATGGACCGAAGTATTGACATCAATGCATTTAGGGTTAGTTTCTAATCACTTCTACAGAAGCCTGAATACATGTTAAGATATAAGTGCATGTTTGTCTTATGAGTAAGCAGTGAGTCTGTGAAAATAGGCAGTTTAAACATTTCCTGTATTAGTGACTAATCTCATCTCCAAGGCTGACTGCGTTCAGTCATTCTGTAGGAAGGATTTAAATTGGAGGGGACCTGTGAAGGCCATCTTGTCCAACTCCTCGCTCAAAGCAGGACTGGCTTCCAATATAGGTGTTTTAGCTGTATCTCTGAGGCTTCTTAGATTAGTAACAGCATCATGTAAAGCCCTGTATGCACTTTCTTTTGGGATGATGGCATGAGTTTTGACCCTCATGTCAGTGTGGTTTTCCTTACAGAAAGAAAAGGATGACAAATGGAAAAGGAGTAATGAGCCAGTATCGGAAAGAAAACTGGAACCTATCATCTTTGAAAAGGTGAAAATGGTAAGAGCAAAAGACATGATCATGGGTCAATCTAAAAGGTTTCTCTCGAGCAGAACAGAGGTAATCCAGCTTGATATGGAAGCATTTTTTCTGACCTCAGTCATAGCAGTGCATGCACTGAGTCACACTAATGGTAGTAGCTTGTTTTCCTCTGTTCAACCAGATACTAAGCAGATGTGTTCTGCCTTGCAGTGCAGAGCAGATTGGAATCCAGCTACCCCCTGCTTAGCTTTACAGCTCGAGCAGTTACTTTTCTCCTAGTTTAGAGCATGCCTGAGTTTGACCAGTGGGTTTCAACAAAATGGGACAGTGAAACAACTGTGTAATACTCGCCCTGAAATGGTTTGCTTTGGAAGCACTTATGTCCACTGGAAAAAATATTTTTTTAAGGGTTAATCTCTCAGTAAAGCCTCTAATGAAACAGAGTAAACCCAAAGTTTGAACAAGATATCTGGTGTTCTTTTTCCCTAGCCTCAAAAGAAAGAAGAAACGCAGCAGTCTAGAAAAAGTTCTCCTAAATCTACAGAACCAGTAATGGACTTGCTAGGACTTGGTAAGAGCCTTTCCAGCCTTATTGCACTTGTTGCAGTGACCCTACGCACCATCTTTCATCTTGTGAATTTGATGAGCTTTTAAGTACTTGTTTTCCACGTCAGGAGAAGAATAGCTGATGGAAATACTAGAGAGTTTTGCTTAAACTACTCCAGTGCAACTCAAGCACAGGGCTCAGCACTACAGCAGAAACAGTTCCTTATGTTTTCCGTTAGGCCGGTGCAGTGGTGGTGCCTGCAGTGTTACAGGAGCAGCCGTAGTGGTCTGCAGACACAGCGTGGCTCCGGGCTGCTCTGAGGTTAGCGGGACAGTTAGGGTGCAGGGCAGTTCCGTGCTCCTGGGCAAGTTCCTCCTCGGCACCGGGGCGAGCGAAGAGCTGGCAGCGCGCGTTGGCTGAAGTAGGTGGCAGGTCAGGTCGCTGGGTTCGGTGACATATGTGCAAGCTGCTTAGTTGGCAAGGAGGCTGCCCCTCAGCCTGAGGCCATCTGCACCAGCAGCCATCACAGCTTTGTCTCTCCCAGATGCTCCTGTGACAACCACCGTTACAAACGGCAGGCCTAGCAGCTTAGAGAAGGATCTGGATCTTTTTGCATCGGTGGGATCAAACTCTGACTCCAGGAAGGTAAGTAGGGAATGTCAGTGCTTGACAAAGCCTAGTTAGATGCTTGAATGAGATAATCTGTGTCTTCCCCTAGTGCTGAATGCAGCTTTTGTCCTTGTGCTGTCTGTCCCAGGTCAGTGGCTCTATGCCAACATCTGGAAGTGCTGGTTCTGTTCCTGAAAACCTGAACCTCTTCCCCGAGCCAGGAGGCAAAGGGGAGGAAGTGGGGAAGAAACAGCTCTCTAAAGACTCTATCCTCTCCTTGTACGGCTCTCAAACACCTCAGCTGCCTGTGCAAGGTAACAGATCTCAAAATAGAGCTGTTGAACGGCAGTACACCAGTTCCGAGTGGGCAGGGTGTCCCACTAGCTGACAAGCAAAGATGCGGGAATGTAGGTGGTCCTTGAGAACTGGCGAGTAGCACAGTGAGCAGGCTTAGTCTGGATGTCGTGGCCAAGTGAACGTTGTGCTAGTCTCCGATTTGCAGGTTGCCCTTTCCGCCCCTGACAGCGAACGCATCAGTTCTTCCCTTCATCGCTTCTCTGCCTTTCTCTAGGAGCAATGTTCATGGCCCCGGCTCAGATGGCGTATCCTGCAGCGGCGTATACTGGCTTCCCTGGAGTGGCCCCCTCCAGCAGCATGATGGGGGGCATGATGGCACCGTCCGTGGGAATGATGGCCCAGCCTGGAGCTGCGGGGATGGTGACCCCCGTGGCCATCCCAGCCGGCTATGTGGGTAACGTGCAGGCAGCTGTCATTGGTGTCCCCAACGGGATGATGGCTGCGCAGCAGGCTGGCTACGTAGCTGGCGTGGCAGCAGTCCCCCAGCCCGTCTATGGTGTGCAGCCAGCACAGCAGCTTCAGTGGAACATTGCTCAGGTGAGGTGGGACCTGCTGACCCGAAGGTGGCTGGAGGGCAGGGGAGGCACACGGGGCTGAATCCAGCCTCTTACCCGAAGACTTCAGCGCTTTTATAGCCTGGCTGCTGGGGTTGGGTGAGGTCTGCTGATACTGCAGGCAAACTTTGAGGGATCACGGAGGAGTCAGAGGCTCTCACTGCTTGGTGGAGAGCAAAAACCAGTGCGACAGCAGCTAAAATGAAAGCTGCTTCAGCTTGCTAGGGCGGGCGTACACCCCGTCTCAGCCAGTGGCTTCTGTTCACTATAACGCTTTAGAAGAACTCGCTCAGGCCTGTAACGTGTTGGGGAGCAAGAGGTTTGCCTTTAGCTGCTGTGGGCTGGCAGTTCTCCTTGATATAGCCTTGACTTCTCTCCTCTCCCCTTTGCAGATGACCCAGCAGATGGCTGGGATGAACTTCTATGGAGCTAATGGCGTGATGGGATATGGACAGTCAATGGGTGGAGGAGGTGCCCAGGGCAGCAATCAGTCCCTCAGCACTCAGATGTGGAAATGATCCCTTGCGTTGTGACCATTTTTGCCTTCTGTTCTGTTCTTCAAAACTGCTCCATGAGACATTCAGGGTTTTTCTTTCTGGCTGGCTGCCCAGCCTGAACCTCTTTCCATAACTGAGACCCATCTCTGCCTTTTCACTGTCAGACACGGTGAAACCTCAGTGGTCAGAACATGAGCTCCCCTGTATTTAGCACAGTCAATGCACACTTCTGGGGTGGACCCCCTCCTTGCACAAACCTCCACTAATGCTTCTGGGTAGCACTTAATGTCCTGCTGGGTATCTTGGCAGAGGTGTGACTGAGGAACTTGGGAAATCTGTCCTTAATACTGCCTGTAATGTCAGGCCTTTTAAGAATCACTTAAACTCTAGTATTAGTAGGGGTGTTGGTTAGCGGAGGGGTGGAAACCTTGTTTGGTGCTGAGGAACTGGATTTTAACCCAAGCCCAGGGGCAAGCAAGCCTTGCTACCTCTTCCCTTGAGTGGAGTTCTCCGGAGCTGAGGCCTCGCTGTGCTTGGCTCGCCAACCCTCATTGGAACCAAAGTCATTTTGAAGACCCCTCTCCCTCCCCCCGTGAGCAAGCAGGATTCTCGCACAGTGTGGGGGCAAGCTGTTTGGAATGTGAAACTTGCACTTCAGAGTGGCTTTTCTGTCTAAAATGTGGTATTGATGTATTTAACTTTTAACAATCTAACTGAGAGTTAACTTATCAAGGGCTGAGAGCCCACTGCAAGTTTTCTTACACTTTTAAAATGACTATGACATCCTAATTTATACTTTTTTCATATTTTTTTGTTCCTGTGTAATCCCCGTACCCCTTCCCAGCTAGCTTTTCACATTTTAATCTAGGCATAAGAAGTGGGTGGGTCAGATTTCTTTTCTCATCTTCAGTAGAACACAACTGCTTAAACTCATCAGCGTGAGCAAGAAGTCAGACTTCTGCAGTCTGCTTTATCCTGTGTATATGTAAATTCCCAAATAAAATACTGCAGTGAAACCTCAGCTGACTTATCTTGTTTTTAAACAGTGTAACAGATTGTGCTAAACACTACTGCCATGGGTGTGAGTTGTTCACTTCAGGTGTGGGGGTTTGGAGCCTTTCATCCAAATCCAACCAACTCCATCTGCTTGGTAGCAGGGCTGCAGCCCAAATGGCAGGCAGGAATAGCGTTTGCCTGGAAGCTAAGGGCCAGCAGGACGCGAGGAACCAGGCTCAGCAGGGGCAGAATTGGGTCAGTTGCCACTTTTATACCCACGAGAGACTCGCAGCTCAGGGCTGGGGGTAAACGCTGCATTCCTGCAGCTCTGGCTGCAGGGAAAACTGAAATTATTAGCCCTGCAGCTTTACGCTAATGGTCAACAAAATCTGACCGAGGCCTGTCCTAAAGGTAAGTTTTAAGCTTTTACAAAAAAGTGGTAACGGTGAGAACATGAAAGGCCGGGGGGGGATTTAGGAGTCACCTAAAGAGCAGGTCTGGAGGCCAGTCGGGAGCCTTGGGGGTGTGGGTGGCGATGTGCTGCTGCAGGGGAGGGAGCTCAGCTAATTGTGTGAGCCTTGAGTTGATGGTGCTCTGCTTCCATATTAATTATGGTTTTTCTTGCCTCAAGTCAAAGCCTCTTCTTATGGGGGGGGGGTGGGGGGGAGAAAAGGGTTCCTTCCTCTTCCCTTCTTCCCCAGCATATCTGGTTTGGGGCAGGGGGAGGGTTGGCTTTAAGCTCCACGAGGTTTTGGGCTGGATGTTTTCAGAAGCTCAACTCAAGCACAGAAAAAAGTTTTCAAGCTGGCTTTAATCATCTTCACTTGCTGCCCCAATACTGTACATGCAGGTACAAGCCAATGAAAATGTGAATGCTTCGGGTTTTTTCCTCCTTGGGAAAACTGGCTAAGAATATTTTACAAAATAGCGTGCACCCTCACAGCCGTCAGTCCTGCTGCATATAAACCACAAAAATACAAGAGTTTTACATTAAGAAAGACCACACACATATAAAACATTACATAACACGGGTATAAAATTGCCATTTGCCTTTTTTTTTTTTTTTCTTTTTTTTTTAATCTATTACCATTCTCAAGTATCCATCACAAGCCCATCCCCTTGTCTCGAACATGGAACTGGGGCTTAAGGGACCCCCCAAGTTCTCCCCTCTGCGGCATTTACTTTAAGGTGGAGTTGCTAAACTCGCGAATCTGTCATCAAAGCAAAGTTTATCACAAAATACGAGTGGGCTAGTGAAGGCAGCCAGGTTTATTCACTAAATGTGGTTACGCCCTGGCTTCCAGAAGTGCAGAGCTACCCGGGGTGACGTGTCAGTGCGGTACGAGTTCTGCACCTAACTCTCCTCTTCCCCGTAGGTAACGGCTGCACAGACAGACGTAAGGTTGACGTGTGCCGCTCAAACGGTGAGATGTCTGCTACCTTTTTTGTTAAGGGATTGAAGGCTAAGCTCGCGGCAGCAATTAACTCCTGGTTAATGGAGTTCTGCCAACTCCCCGGTCTAACGGGACTCTCTTGGTTTAGGCAATTCTTTTTCGATGCGGCTTGTTGGGGAATTTGGGGTGGAAAATGGGAAGTAGCATGGATTTCTGCGTCCTTGCTTGGCTGTATCGCTTTCGTAGGGTGCACCCCTCTCAAGATACTCGTTTGAGCTTTCTGAAGCAGCTCCCTGGAGAAGGGCTGTGGTTAGCAATGGCTGGCTGGGTTGTCCCAGGTGCATCTCTCATTGCCTCATACCTTTAGCAATCTTGGACCCTTTTATGCCCCCTGATGCTTTTTAGGGGACTAACACAGCTTAAAAGGCATAGGCTGGGTTTAAAGATTTGTAAGGTATAGGTAAAATCCCTCACGTGTCTCGTTCGGGAATATAAATTCTGAATTTTTTTGATAGGATGAATGCTTCAGTTGGAGTGCTTCTAAAAAATTCATTGGTGCTTTTCTCTCCGTGCTTACGTGGGTTTGGTTTTGGTTTGTTTTTTTTTTTTTTTTCCCTGGTGCTGTTAGTAACCAAATTCAAGGACAAACTTCAATTCAAACTTGGAGCTGCTACTTTTCCAAGTGTTGTTACTAAGACAGATGTATGTGTTTTTATATTTGAGGTATAAACTTCTGAGATTAATGACAGATTCTTAAGTCCTGGATAATATCTTAAACGGCCCAGGCGCTTGTTCATAGCTTAAATTTGAGGTGGGGAGTAGGACAACATGATGGGGAAGATTATTTAGTTTAAACTGCATGAAAAGATCAAGCCCTTTTGAGAAAACAAGGCCACCAACTTCAAAGTGCTAACATTCAAGAGGCATCCGCTGCCAGGGCCCCTGGCCAGGTGGGCACAAGGAGGGGGGTGCTGCTCCGTCCAGGGGCCCTCTGGCATCAAGCATTGCTTCACGATCTTACTACAAGTTAGGACAAAGTTCCCTTTTTTTTTTTTTTTTTTTTTTTAATTTTTTATTTTTTTTAGTGAGTTCTGGGATCTAGCAGATACGCCCGGACAGCGATGCTGCTGGGATCCCTGCCCTCCCGCCCGAGGGACGCAATTCCTGCCTCCTCCTGAGGCTCCATCTACTCCAGGCGAAAGCTTTAGCGGGGGCTCGGTGCCCCTCCAAGAGCAGCAGCGCTGTCCCCAGCTTGTGGCATCCGAGACACTCACCTCCTTGCCGGCCCTTTTTGGAGGGGGGGGGGGATGGTTTTAGGGGAGCAGGACTGCGAACACCCGCCCGCATCGGGCGAAGGGGCGGCCTCTGGAGCGCTGCTCGTCTGCGTGTTTTCACCGGGACGGCTGAAAGGGGGGGTACCCACCGTCCAGCCGAATCATCCCTCCCTCCAGAGCAGCGCTCGCTGGCCTCTTGCTCCCCTTGCCCCGTAGCTCAGCAATCATTAGTGCAAGTGCTAAACGAAGCGGCGGTCGGGCTCGCGGGAACCAGCATGGGAGCAGGTGGGAAACGCACACCCCGTGTAATTGCCCTTCATTGCACAGTTACAACAACAAAAAAAAAAAAATAACCTGAATGTGATAGAGAGTGCACGAAGCTCTGGCTCTTAAAAAAAAAAAAAAAAATAAAAAAAAAATAAAAAAGAGGAAAAGGAGGCGGGGGAGAAAAAATTTAAAAAAAAAAATAATGAGGTATACCAATAATCGGAGCTCCAGACGGGCGCCGTGGTCACACCAGCTCGCGGGGCTCGGCGGCGGCCGCTAAACCGAGCTGCTTCCTCCTGGGTCCCCAGCTGCTGCTGCGCTCCGTCCTGGCGCCTGTGCCCGAGGCAGATGAGCGGGGCTAAACAGTGTGGCGGTTAGTCAGACAGCAAGACAAACACTTAGGCCCTTTACTGTACATTTTTCCAAGTCTACTTTTAAACCCTAAATCTTCCCCAAATACGGACCAGCTCAGTTAAGGTGAGCGTTACTGTCACATCTGGTCACCGAGTCGGTTTTGTTTCACTTTGGCTGTGTCGCACATAGCGTGTCTTTACCCCACCAATTCCAAGCATGCTTATTGCAGACATTTTTTTTTTTTTTTTTTCCATAGGAAGTCTTTTCTGCAGCCTTTCAACCTTCTTTGTAGCCCATAAACATAACTCCTGCCCCCCTAACAGCCAGCCAAGGGTTGGGGTGTTTCCTATGCTCGTGAACATGAAGTAGAAGGAAGACTTCCAGTTGAAACAGCTTTGCTAGAGAAACATTGGAGCGGGCCGTCATGCCTTTGGCACGTCACAGGATGCAAACCTTGCTTTTACTGAAGGTAATTTTACACGTGTCTGGAGGCATGAAAACCCAAAGGAAAGCAGAGAGAGCTCTTCATATCTTTTTCCATCTGTGATGCAAAACCCATTTAGACTTTGAATTCAGCCATCGAGAAGAACGGTGCCTGACCACTGTTCCTTGACCTTTCAAATGCAGTTATTTTCCAAATCAGTAACCAAATGCACACCCCTAAGGAAGTTTACAGATGTGCATTGTCCAAGCGTTTCACATCAATCTGGGAAGAAGTGTCTGAGTCAACTGGAAGAAAATAGGAGGTGGAATCTTTGTGCCTGAAAAAACATCACCGGTGCTGTTTTTATAAATGGTCTCATATCAGTAAAGACCCTTAAGGTGTACTCACTGCTGCTGAGTATTTGCAAGCCCACTTAAACAAGCGAAGGTATTTAAAAGTGTTAACTCCTCTCGCGTGCACCGATGTGCACCAGCCCGTACGAATCCAGGCTTGACTTTTCAAGTCTCGTGGCTGCTAGAGCGGTCGTGTAAGAGAGGGAACAGAAGCGGTTCCCTACCAGCAAAAGGAATCCTGATCCCGCTCCTGCGGGAATTTCTGGTCTCGTATTTGCAATCGAGAGCTACGTCTGTAACTGCTTCTGGAGAAAAAGGTTTTAAGAGCTGGAGAAGGTGGCCGCGGAGGGAACGCTTCCCACCATCTCAGTTGCTCTGTGGCATTTTCCAAAGCCACTCAATAGGTTTAGTTTTCTGATTGCTGGCCAGGTAATTGGTTCTGCACCTCACTAGGTCTAAGCATCCTCTCCCCATGCTTTCAACATGCCATGCCACTGATGAAACAGGAGCTAATTTCTGATTAAGCCCAGAAGCCTGGCCCACCTTCTGGTGCCCTAGAAAATTTTCACTCGACTTTGGCAAATAAAGCCCATTCCAGGCTTGTAGAAAACTCAGGGATCACTTAGACCTGGGCGTGAAATCATGCAGTGTTTCCTGTGCTTTGCTGCGTGGCTGTGACTTTTTTAACAAGAGTTTAGGGGATGGTTGAGCATCATTTCAAGGCTATTTTGGCAAAATCCACGCTTGTTACTCAAGTATGGTGCCTTGATTCTGACACCAGCATCTACTGTCAGTTGTGCTGTAGTAAGGTCTGTGTCTCAGGTGGGTGCTGCGTGCTACTTGCTGCTCACAAACTGCTGGGGGTGCTGGGTATAAAACCGGCTGCAAAGATAATTCAGTTGAATATTAATTATTCTTTCTAGGGGAAAATATCTGGCAAGTCGAATGGTTTGAATTTCCTTTCCTGGTGGAAGGTGGAGGAAAGGGAGGAAATAATCTAACGCATAATGCCTAGTCAGTGCAGCCACTTTTTGCAAATCATATAATACACTTAAAAAAAAAAAAAAAAAAAAATGCCCTTGGTGACAAAACGTTCCCCCAGAAAAAAACCTGGAGTCCAGAAGCTTGTGGTTTTTCTGGCGTGTCTCATGTAGGAAGCAACTGGGTATCTTGGCTTTTTTGTTCTTGTCGTTCAAGGAGGGAAAACATCTGACGTGGGCTCACGGGTTAAGAAATGCAAAGGAGCTGATGTTGTGATGTAAACGTGGCACACTTCGGTCTCTTCTCCCATTTTAGTGTTTCCACACAAGGGAAAGGTGGGTCCTGACCCAGATGCTTCCCCAGAGAAGTGAGTACCAGCTCGGGGGGGGGGGGGACGGGGGGGGGGGGGGATGGACTGGCCGCGTAGTGCTGCAAGTGAAGAAGTTAAGGTCTTGATGGATTTCAGTTAGTCTGGTGAGCAAGTGACAACCATTTAAAGTCGTTGGCACGGTGGCTCCACCTTGCTGGTCTCCACGAGCAGGAGGAATCGCTCCCACGAACCCGTCGCGTTGCAGCAAACGAGAACACAGCACTGAGAAAACGCTGGGGGGGGCGTTTGTTGTGATGTCAGCGACGCTGTTCTCCTCCACTGCATCCTCGGTCTTATCAGTGATAAAAAACCAAGCCAAAGTATTTGGGTTTTCCCTGTCCCCCGGCATACCCAGGTGCGCCTTCCAGACGATAATTCTTTGCTCTGGCTTTTCCACGTGCCAGCAAGGGCAGGTTTTCCAACCGGCGCAGAACCAGGGAGCCTTTGGCTAGACCTCAGGCATCGGGTGCTGTGGGTGCGCGCCTGGCTGTCCCCGTGCTCCTGCTGCTCCTCACCCACTCCTCTATCTCAAGAAAAGCGTTTCGTTGCTCACGAAGAGGGGGAGCAGTGAAGCTCTGCAACTCGCTGGAGAAATTTCCAGCCAGCGAGCTGTGTGCTGGGAGGGGAAGGGGGGTGGGATGCTGTGTCCACACCAGCGGGCAGAAAATACCCGCAGAGCTCCCTGCTCTGCCCACGCTGCTGTTCCACCTCCCCGCGGACACCGTTATTGTCCCACCGCAGGCAGATTTGTCATTCTTTCCATTGAAATGGAGTTGGTAAAGCAAAATCAAACTGTTAGCTTGAAGGAGCAGAAAGCTTTTCCTCTTAAGATGCCTTCCCTCAGATATATTCAAAATCCCAGCGTGCCGGGGCAGAGAAAGCTTGGCCTCATCCAGGCGTCGTCGACCTCATATAACTGCTGCGTGCTCGGGAAGGAATGTCCTGTTCAAAGGGTTGTTTATTCCTGTTTCAGTAGTCAGGGCACTGAGTTTGCTTCCTCAAGCCGCTCGAGGCTGTCAGTGCATCCCACGGTCCCGGCCGTCGCCATTCAGCAGGAGCTCAGAGACCCGCCCGCGTTGCTCTGACGAGCACTTGCCGCTCTAGCAGACGAGGATTTAATCTTTTACAAGGCAGGCGCTGGGCTCCCGAAGCAGAGCCCCCTCCATCCCCGGTCAGCAGCAGCCAGCCTGCTCTCTTCTCAGAGGTCTACAGTGATTTTGATTTGGTAAAGGTCCAGAGTCCACAGTAGTAGCTGAAATTCCTCGACACCCTGTGGCTCAAATCGTGGCGGGGTTGGGTGAACCAGCCGCTGAGCAGTGGGGGTTCGCTGACCCCCGGTCTGCGGAGGGGACAGCGTCATCGCGACAGTCTTTTCCTTCAGGTTTGCTTTCGTTCCGTTGTGGCAATGGGTTCGAGCTGGTTCGTCGTTCCTGGTGTCACCAGGAGAACCCCAGGTTGGTTCTGTTGTGCTCTGTGCATTGTGAAATTCTCTGCTTTGCCGATAAATAATTGTAAAAAATCCCAACTGTGCTGTGGGTTGATTTGTGTTAAAGACTGAAGGTCAGAGCCACCTGGTCAGCAAAACTTCCCATTGGCCTTCTGTCCTCTTCCAGGCTCAGGACTGCTCATCTTTTGGTGTGTTGGTTTTTTTTTTCCTCTCTTTTGGAAACTGATCCTTCAGGACAGTCATTGTGTTAAGTATCTTTTAAGAAGAAACCAGAGTTTCTAGTGGTGTCTCCCCTGAGTATTTTCAGCAAATTTCATTAGGCACCTTCAAAAAAAGCTTCCGTAATTCTCGGTTTTGCTACAAGAACTGGTCCCTTGGGGGGAACCAAAATGCTGCTTTAAAAACAAACAAACAAAACGTACAAACAAAAAACCCAAAACACTCAGCCTGATAATAAATTCAAAGCATCTAGTCCTTTGTTCGTAACCTCTCAGTCGCCCTAATTCCAGATCAGCAGAAGGTGCTGTTGAGATGTTCCCCTGTAGCGGACCACCAAGTCGAGAGTTGGAGAAAGGCGCGTCCTGCCGCGGGGGCTGGCAACCCCTCTGCTCCTACTTGAAATCCAAGTAGACCCCAGGAGCGCACCCCAAACCCAGGGAGGGCACCCCAAACCCGAGAACACCCCAGGCCTCGAGCTGGCCCTCGCGGGAGGCAGACGATCCCCCAGCATCGCGGTACTCCTGCTCCATCGAGCCGCCTTTTCCTGACTCGAATTTGCACGTGAGGCATCACCGGGTTTACAGTTCGGGTCTTGATTCGGCCGCACGAGACCACGGGCGGTGGTGAGACACGAGGGTAAGACCAGCAGATGCTTGGGTGAGGTGAGTGCACCTTTTTCTGTTCTCTCTCGCTTTGGCAATGTCACTGGTCACAGGCTACATGCTACCGGTAAAAAAAAAAAAAAAAAAAAAATTTAAATAAAAAAGAAAAATGACCACCAGAAGTGCTTGCTCAGTGTTGCAGGATTTGTGTCAGAAAACGAACAAACGGGAAGTGAGTGGCAGATGTTTCCGGTCAATCCGGAGTCTCTTAGATATTGCAGAGAGTGAGTGTGTTGTTAGCACGTGGCAAGCTACATAATAGAAGATGCTACATTCCTTGGGAAAAAAAAAACAAATAAAAATAAAAATAAAAATAGTGCTGAGTTGGATTTTTTTCTGAGGTTTTTTTCTTTGAAAAGCTACTTTTTCCTCAGAGGCAAGGAAATGAGATCGAAGGAAAAGAAACCTCGCCAACATGCTGCTTGCAGCGGCGCTGGATGGATCCGACCGAGCTGCTCTCGCCGGGTGGTCAGGAGAGAAACGCGGCGCTTCGATTCCTTTCCGGCGGGTGCCGGGACGAGGTGCGCTCACAGTCTCGGGATCGGTCGGCGGTCGCAGCCCTCGGTCTGCCTCACGGGGAGGGTGGGGGGTTTTATTTTTTGCTTCTCCTTCCCCCCCTGCCTCAAAACACCTCGCTCCCCCTCCGACATCCCCCTCTGCGCGCCGGGACGCGTGCTCGGGGAGGAGTGCGGCGAGAGCAGGTTTGTTTTGGGAAGGAGAGTCTTTTTTTTTTTTTTTTTTTTTTTTTTTCCTTAAAAAAAAAAAAAAAAAAAAAAAAAAAAAAGGACCAAAAAAGAAAAAGGACAGGATATTTACAGCTATCCACTAACAGTTTTGGTAGGTCAGGATGTCTCCTTTCCCCTCCCGGGCTCTCCCACCGACCTGCTGCCTACGGGCAGGAGGGACTGGTGGAGCTCTCCAGGGAGGACTGGGAGAGGCGGCGTGTCAGGGGCCCGATGCTGGAGTCGGCCAGCGAGGAGGTGGGGAAGAGTTTGTACCAGCCCGCGACCACGCCGGAGAGGTCAAGCTCCTCCAAGACGATCTGGGCCATCCCCATGAAGCACTTGTGGTCCATGCGCCCGTAATCTCCCCAGACGATCACCTGCGGGGCCGAGAGGGCGTTAGGGGGGCTGCCCCGCTCGTCGGGCGGGCGTTTGGGGGGGAAAAAGCGGGGAAATTCAGCGTGCCCAGCCGGAAAGGACCGGCTGTGATCGGGACGAGGAGGCTGCGGTGGGTTTCTATGCCCTGCCCTCGCTCCCCTAATGCCTCCCTGCCCCCCGGTATCTGTGCGGGGGGGGGGGGGGGGTGGTACATCACCTGCAGGACTTTGCCCTGGGGACTCTCCTCGAAGAGCAGAGGCTGCTGGTACGACGGGTCGCAGGTTTTCTTCACCACCTTGGTCTTCTTCTTGGCCAGGCAGACGCCGTTCTCCAACAGGTAAACTTTCACGTAGGTGGCTGCGTTGGAAACCGGGTGAGAAACTCCGACGCGGAGCGGGGTCCGGGGATGGTGCCAGCACAGCACCTCCATCCCTGATCCACTCCCCCCCCCCCCGGCCCAGCCTCCAGCCACCTACCAGGGATGGATTTGGAGCCCATCTTTGGGATAAGTCCCCTCGCCTGGATCACCTCCACCTCCAGCTGCCCGTTCCGGTCAGCCATGCTGACGTGGACATCGCCTAGGCGGAGGGACGAGACGTGCTCAGCACCCTCCCCGACAGCCACCTCCCACCGGGGCCAGCGCAGCCCCCGGGCCGGTCCCGTCCCCACCAGCCCTCCCTTTTGGCCCTGCCAAAAATCCTGGGGGGGGGTGTGGGGATGTGGGGATGTCATCTCCAGGGCTGGCAGCCCCCGGCACCCCCACCCCGCTGCCCTCAGCACCCAGCGCTCAGGCACACCCAGCGTCCCGCCAGCGGGCGCACGATTTATCGCGAGTTTGGAGGGAGGACAAAGCCGAGCTGGTGGGAAGACGCTCGGATTTGAGCAGTGAAGAGAGAACCGGGCGCTGAGCCCCCTCCTCCCCGCCAGCTCCATCCCACGGCAGCCTTCCAGGGGGATTTTTTTTTTTTTCCCCATGATGGGAAAAGGAGCTGGGGTTAACCAGGGATGTGTCTTGCCCAGGCAATGCCCTTGGCCATGAGCAGGCGAGACCCCAGCAAGGGCAGGAGAGGCTGGGGCAGGAGGGGCCAGTGGCTGAGCCCCCCCCCCCCCCAAGCCCCCATCTTCCTGGGGAACTTCACTGGGGTCCTTCCACACTCCTTGCGGAGGGGCATCTGCAAGAAAAAACATGGCCAGGCACCTCTGGAGCTCTGTGTGAAGTGGTTCTCCCACTTACTCTGTCCCACTCATATGGATGGATGTCCCTCGGCCGGCGGGTCCCCGTCACTCGCTGCTTTGTGGCCCCGGGGGGGGGGGGGGGGGGCAGGGGGAGTGGGGATGGGGAAGGGGCGAGCTGATGTCCCAGCGGGCTTTAACAGGAGCGAGATGAACCTGGATGTCCTCAAAACACACTTGGCATTTCAACAGCAAGCCAGGGCTTGCCCGAGGAACCAGCTAACGTTGGCCCCTCTGGGGGAAGGTGGGCAAAAACAGCGGGGTACAACTGCCCCCCCTTTCCCGTTCCTTCCCTCTCACTGGAGGTTTATGCGAGGCCAGCAGGACCGGGTCGCTGTGCTGGGGGGGACTCTGCGGGGGCAGGATGGGGACCCCGGTCGTAGTGGTCCCCCGGGGCAGCTCTCCCCATTCCCACAGCTCCGGCCCCTCAGCAGGAGCTGGGGCAGACACCTTGGTGTGCCCTGGGAGCAGCCGGGGACACGCTGCTGCTGGCTGGAAATTCAGACTTAGGGCACGACTTTCCAGAGCCATTTTGGATTTAAAAGGGAAAAATGGAACAAAACGCGGTTTCGCTGGGTCCCCTCCGCAGCGGGATGCTCGGGGGAGCTGATGCACAGCAGAGGGGCTTAAGAGGCCTCGGGAAAAGGCAGAGCTGATGGTTCTGCCGGCGGGTGCCCTGCCCTGAGCCCTGCACCGGGTCGTTCCCTCCCCTCGCAGAGCCAGCAGCGGGAGCAGCAGGGTCGGCCAGAGCATCTTACAAGCCACCCGGCACGTGTTCTGCAGCGAGAGACCCTGCCACGAGCGAGCCTGGCCCCCGGAGCCGGTGCCCTGCGCCAGAGCCCGCGGCCACTTTCTCCCCCGCAGCCCCTTCCCTCTCGCCGGAGCATCCTTACGCACTGCCCAGCCCCGCACCAGGCAGGATGCACCCCCAGCCCCGGGCAGGGACACCCCCCACCCCACGCCACCCCCCCCCCCGGGGCCGGCCACTCACCCATCGGCGGGGTGGCCAGCATTTGCCGTCCCACCAGCTGGCCCGGCCCCAGCCCGTCGAGGAAGTCGCTGAACTGGCTCTCGGCGCCCAGCCGGGTCGTGGGGAAGATGAACCTGCGCCCCGGGGGAGAGCAAAAGGGTTTTTGTGGAGCATCGGGCTGCCGGGTCTCAAGCGAGATTCCCCCCGGGAGGGTGCCCAGCCCCAGCTCCCGTCCCCCCCCCACCCCACCCCGGGGCTCCTTACGTGCCGTCGGAGCTGTTGCTGTTGGTGCTGCCGTCGGTGGACTCTCGGCTGCCTTGCCGGGTGACCCTGGTCCTCATCTCCACCGCGATGCCGGTCTCCGTGCTCCTCCGAATGTTGCTGCGCAGCTTTTTGGGGCCTCCCTCTGGAAGCCGGGACAGGGGGTGAGCGTGGGAAGCGCTCGCTGTCCCCCCGGACCCTCCTGCGGGACCGGATTCAAACCAGACGGAGGATCCGGGGTGCTGTGCAGGGCTGGAGCCTCCCCGCGTGCTGCTCCCCCCTTCTGTGATTTATTTATGCAACCTTTCCCTGGGGATGAAACCCCGCACGGGCACACATCCCTGTGCCACGCACGCCGTGCTCGAGAGCCACGGGCGAGAGCCCCCTGCCAGCACCTCAGCCATCCCCCCCCCCCCCCCCCTGCACCCGCTGAGACCTGCCGGACTCAGCTCACATGTGCTGACACCATCCCAGCCCGCCGCCCGGCCTGCGCTGCTGCAGAGCCACCTCCCGCCTTCCAAAAATCCCCAGGGCCCCCTCGACATGTGCCGATGTCCCCGTGCCACAGGGGACGGGGCACCCCCAGTCCCGCAAGCCCTGACACTGCCTGATGTCTTTCCCCCTCCACGCAGTCACACCATCCCCGCAGCCACACGTCCCGGCTGGTGGCAGATGGCAGGAGGAGGAGTGTGGCACGAGCATCCAGCCCTGGCATCGCCGCCAGCCCCGCTCCCACCGGGTGAGCACGTGAGTGTCAGCACCGTGCCGCGGCTGCTCCGGGGAGGGGGGCCAGGTTTGTTCTGCTAATTCAGGGGTTCCCCCGCAGAAGCATTTTCCTGACCCTGGCAGCCCCCCCCCCCCCCCCCCCCCCCCCCCCCCCGGCACAGGAGCTGCTCCCCTGGGCACCAGGGAGGGTCCCGGTCCTGCCGTCCCCAGGTGCGGTTCTGCCCATCTCCGGGACTTCTTGCTGGGCTTTTGGGGATAATTATACCCCTTCAGAAACACCTCAGATGAGCAGGGTGGGGGCGGGCTCCAAATTAACTCCTTTCTTTATAGAACAGCTCCCAAATCACAAAATGCCAACAAGAACGGGAATAAAAAAGCAATAACTAGAGAAAAAGCCTGCACTTAAATGAGCTTTTTGCTTCACCCGCCCTTTAAAAAAGCTTTTTAAAGCGTTTAAATATTTCCCAGAGCCAGGCCATTTGACAAGTCCTTTCTCCCAGCTTCCTCCCTCTCTGCCCGCAGCCCCGCAGCCGGGACTGGCTGTTACTTGAGGAGGGGGGAGATGCTGAGCCCAGACCCTCCCCCCCACAGGCAGAGCTCCAGCAACATCCCCGCCTCAGGTTTGCAAACGGTTTTGGCACCTGGAGAAGCGCCGGTGTGCCAGATTTCTAAGGGTTTTTTTTTTAGGTGTCTTCATCAGACGTGGGCGGCTAGAGGATTGCTCTGGGCAGCGGGGAGCGTGCACCTCTCCTAAAAGCATGGGGCTGAGGTGGGGGGGGGCCGGGGGGGGTGGGCAGTGCCCCGGGGGGGGGTCCCCACGGCCGCTCACCGGTCTGGTTGAGCTGCAGCGTGCTCTTGCTCCACTGGGACAGCCCCACGATGGCCACCATCTTCGCGCCCAGGCTGGAGCGTCTCTTCTTGCTGGCGGTGACGGCGACGGAGTCGGCGCTGCCCCGCGCGCTCTTCTCGACGGTGTACATCTCGCCGCTGATGCTGGAGCTGCGGACGACGTTCCTGGCCGCCGAGGAGCTGGCATCCCCGTTGAACATGGTCGGCCGCTGGCGCGCTCGCCGGCCCCCGGCTCTGCTGGGTGGGATCAGCTGCAAGGAGGGACACGACACGGGGGACCAGGGGACACGTCAAGGCCAGCGCGGCCGGGCGGTGGCACTGGCCGTGGCACCGCAGTCGCGCCCGGAGCAGCCCCACGGGGCTGGATGCTCCTCCGAAGTGCTTATAAAGCCGTGAAATTAACCCATCGGGACTATTTTTCCCCACCCGTGGGGGCAGGGTGAGGCGAGCAAAGGGGGGTGCAGGACCCACCCCCCCACACCCCCCCGGTGGAGCCGGGACAGGGGGTGAGCCCACCAGCCCGTCCCCAGCACCCTGTGGGTCCCGGGCAGCCCCTGATGTCGGGAGAGACCCACTGATGAGCTGAAGGCTTGGTGTGTCACCAACCCACCCAGGAGGGGACCCTGAGGCTTGGGGCCGACCCCACGGAAGGTGTCCAAAATCACAACCAGCAAAGTTCCTCCCGCGCATCTCCCTCCGGGCGTGCCTCTGCTCCACCCCGAGCTGGCCGCCAGCCCCGGGGGCTGGATCAGGCCCCAGCCCTGCAAACCGTGTGCTGGGCTGCTGCTGGGGTCCGCTGTGAAGCCCTGGAGGGACCCCCACAAATCTGCCGGGGTGCTTGGGCGATCGCTGCCAGCCCTCCCGCCCGGCACAGCGGCTGCTGCCTTCCCTTCGCCATGAATATTTTAAACTCCAGTGGGATGGGAGCATCCATCTTCCAAGGAAAGGTGAATTATTAACTCCAGGCCAAGTGAAGCCACTTTATGATAATGGATGGAGGCAGTGCCTGGAAAAATATTTCTCTTTCAAGAGAGAGAGTTGGCCACAAGCGTAGAGGATAAGTTATGGCTGGGAGTGGGGCAAGGCGGGGGGCTTCTGCTGCCCGTTGCCCTCAGGGGAAGGAGCTTCGACGGGGCACAGTTGGGCTGAGACCTGACGGGAGCCGTGGGCTCAGCTCCAGCAGCACTGAACTGGCAGATTTATCACTTACAGAAGGGATGCAAACCAGGGCAAGTGGGCGATTAGTCATTAATATCGTTAATGAGCTCCCCAAGAGCAGCAGCCGTCCCGCGTTTCCCTTCTGGCTGGCGTTTTCCTCCCTTGCTCTGCCCCCGGGCGAGCACAGGGCAGTGCCCCATCGCCGTCACCCCCCTGCTCCTCACAGCCAGCGGTGCCTGTTGCCGAGCGGGACCCCGGCACAGCTGCATTCACAAGATTTGGGGTACGCCACGGCCATAGCACATGCTTCCCCTCGTGTACGCACGTCCACGTGGGATTTTTGGCCCTCGCTGCTGAACAGACATTCAGAGCCCCTCGGATAAAGCCGCCGGCACCGGGCGAGCACCAGCTCCGCCGCCCCGGCATCGTGTGCCCACGGGCAACCGAGATGGGCCAGAGCAGCCAGAAGCACTTGCCCTACCCTCAGCGTCTGCTCGAGGAGGGGTTGGGGCTGAGCCGCGACCTTTGGGACATCTGGGATGAGCATTTTCCGACACCTCCAGGCACCCTCCGGGCTCCAAACCCGCTGCAGCCGCTCGCAGGGGCTGGGGTTTCTCTTGGGAAGCGCCGGCAGCAAGAAATGGATCCCAACCGCTTCCCCGACCGCAGCCCCAGCGCGCCCTCAGTCGCACGCCGCTTCCCTTCCCCTTGCCTCAGTTTCCCTCCCTGCAAACCTGACACTTAGACCGTGCCGAAACAGAAGCACGTCCCTTGAGTCCGGCGCGGCGCCCAGCTCAGGCCCCTCCACACAGCGTTAGGGCCAGAGGAGCTGTGGCACAACCGAGCCCCGTTATTTCTAAGGCCAGGAAAACACAAAAGGCTCCTGCTGCTGTTTTCCCCGCTCAGCGCTTCGGCAGCCACGAGATCACCGGGCTCTGGTGGAAGCAAATTAGATCAGGAGAGCACAGCGCTGATGGGATCATTTCCAATGCAACACACACACACACACACGCGCGGATAATCCGCCGCAAAGGAAGCGGAGCGCGCGCGCGCGCGCTCCTCAGCCCAAAGGAAGGATTTTCTTCACCCTGCCCATAATTTTTACCCCTTATCTCTTTTATCCCAATCTGCTTCTGGCCTCTGCGGAGCACTGGTGCCAGACGGGGAGATCAGGGAGGTGCCCAGTGCTCGGTGCTGAGATGAGCTGGGCCAGACGCCGTGCCTGAGCACCAAGAGCACCGGAGCCCGCCGCTCCCACCACCGCGCCGGCCTTGGCCCCGCGACAGCATCCTCGGCACAGGCAGTCCCGGTGCTGTCTCTGCCCCCGGCTCCTTTTCCCCACCAGCGGGGGGATTCAGGGAATGGCACCAAGTTTCCCTTCACCGCCCCCCCCCGCCCCATTCCCCCGGGTAATTTATTTCAAACCATCAGGATTCTCAGAGCAAACAACCGCGACGCTCCAGCCTGAGCCGGATCGCATGCAAGGACCCCCCCCCCCCCCGTCCTTCCCCGCCACGGAAACACGTCCCCGGTGGGGGGGGGGGGGGGTGTCAGCGCCCGCAGCCCCCCACCCGCGCTTACCGCCGCCACGCACCGTCCTCGCGGGGAAACGGCAACCGCCACCGCGAGCACCGGGAAGTTCTCCGGTGAGCAACTGGGCTGGCTGCGGGACGCACGGAGCCACCGGGCACCGGCTGAGCAGCCGGGAGAGGTGTCATGGCTGTAGCATCCCCCCCCCCTCCGCCCCCCCCCCCCCCAGCTCCCCTCCCCGGCTGCTCGGCGGACACGCCGCCAGCGCCCGACGCCGGTGCACAAGGGCGCAGCCAAACGGGAGCGGCAGGAAAACGGGCTCCCCGTTGCGTTTCCATCGCCGCTGCGGCGCAGTGAGCCCCGGTGAGGCTGGCGGGGCCCAGCCCTGCCCTCCCCGCACCGGCACCCCGAAGGAAAAAGAGGAGATGGAGGCATCTTACCGCCCTGTGGAGCTGGAGGAGGGACTGGGCAGCACCCGCTCCGCGCTCCCCGCCGAGGAGGCTCAGCCCCCCAGCCCCATCCCCGGCTGGAGACGGAGGGTGACGGGGCTGGTTAATCTTTAAAGGGTTCTGGAGAGCGGGGCTGTGCCGGCGCTGCTTCAGCATCTCCTCCAGCATCTCCATGGTTACATCGCTGACCCAGTTCTCCTCCCAGCCCCAAGCAGGGGCAGAGCGGGCCAGCCGGGGTGGGGTGCGCCTCGACGGGGTTGGGGGGGGGCCCCCCCTGTGCCAGGCGTCGGGTGCCCGATGAGCCCGCTGGGTCGCCCCAGCCGGGCGTCACGGATGTGCCAGGGGATGATGGAGCTGGGAAAAGTGGGGAGCAAGGGGGCACGGAGTTGGGGAGCGGGGACACGGGGGATCCCGGGGAGCGGATGGGGCCGTACAGCCCCACTGCTGGTGCATCCCAGGGAGCGGACAGTGTCAGGCGCTGTGAGGGAGCCCCAGCTCCCAAATATCTCACTGAAATAGAAATGAGGGGCAAAATATTGATGGGATAAACTGGGTGCTTTGGCAAAGCCTGTGGGGAAGGAGGGAGGAGCCTGGTGGGTGGCCCCACACAGGTGGGGAGAGGAGGTGGGGAGAGGAGGAGGAGGAGGAGGAGGAGGAGGAGGAGGAGGAGGAGGGAGGAGGAGGAGGAGGAGGAGGAGGAAGGTGATAAATGAGCATGGTAGGGCTGGCTGGGATGCTGCCTTGCGGGGAAGGAGGTGGAGGGATTTTTGGGGCTGTCTGCTCCCTCAAAACCCTCGAGGTGGGTGTCCCCAGGGAGAGACAGGGTTGGAAAGCCCTGGCAGCGGGGTGACACGTCCTCTTAGCCCTGGGCTGTCCCTGCAGCCCCCGACTCCCCGCACTGGGGCTGCCTCAAGCCTGGAAGGAGAGCACTGCTGTCCGGAGCAGGTGGGCCCTAAAATCAGCACTTTTGGTGAAAGAAAAGCTTGTTAGAGCTGTTGCTACAAGGCCCTGCCGGTCCTGAGCAGAGCACAACGCGCTAGGGCAAGCCGCAGCAGCACAGCTCACAAGCACACGCTCCTCTTTGTATTAGGAAGTAAGGCAAGGGCTTATTTCCCCTAAAAGTACTTAATTCTAATTAATTGTTTCAGGTTTGATAGGCAGTTGCTTATATAAATTTAATTGCCCAGCAAGAGGTATAATTCTGCACACATGAACTGAGAACTTGCAAGTAATTCCAGCTACTGGAGTTAAGCATCTCATTGCTCAGGCAGGTTATAAAAGTTATATTCTGGCTGCAACTTGCTGCAGGCACAGCATTAATTCTCCTGTACAATCTCTATGGGAAAGAGAAACCTTGAAATTAAAGGCTGGGTCCAAATGTGCTCCATTCATGGGAAAAGTGGAGCTTAGAGGGGAGAAGTCTGGAGGGGGTCAAGCCGGGGCTCTGCTTGGGGGTCCTGTGGAAGCAGCCCCTGCCCCTAAAAAAAAGGTCTGACTTGTGTGAGCGAGGTTTAGCAAGCTGAAGAGGAAGAAGAGGAGGAAGGCCACGGGGCAAACCCTGTGGCATGCTGCTGCTGGGTTGCTCCAGCCCGGGTGATTCTCCAAAAGGCAGGATTGGGCAGGAGCAGAAGCCCAAAACGCCGGAGCTGCTCCGTCGGTGTTGGAGCTGCTCCCCGGGAGGGAGAAGAGAAGGCGACCGAGCGGCAGCCGGAGGTTTTCCACCGGGATGGGAAGTGCTGGTGGCCGTGGTGTGGGTGAGGAGCTCGGTCCCCTGCACAGACCTGTCGACGGGAAGGTGGTGACAGCAGCCAGTGCTGTGGCCTGGAGACATCCCCAAGGGCTGAGAGATGGCTTCGTGGAGACCAGCTCTTCCAGCGACCCAAGCAATGCATCGCATCTCTTCTGGGATCAGCAGGGGGATGGATTTCCTCCAGCCTGGGAGCGGGTTGGGTCTGAAGGGCCTTTCTGCTCTGGGTGGTCTTCTCCACGCTGCTGTGCTGCTCCTGTGCAGGGGGGCCGGATTGGGACCACCCCTGGGACCCAGAGCAAGAGCCGCAGCCCTGCGTGGGGGTCTTCAGCGCAGCAATGACACAGAAGAACCAACTGGCCCATGGCTGGAGCCACCACCTCAGCCGTGGTGATTTACTTGCCGTCCCCGTTCACGAAGCACGTGGGCGTCTCCAGCCAGCCCAGAGAAGTGATGCTCCTGGCCGATGGGATCCGTCTGGGAGCACCGGGACAGGGAACTGAGTATCTCCAGGAGGGACAGGCAGGAACATGGCATCTTCCCGCAGCCGTTTGTCACGAGGAGGGGGAACGGGGGTGGGAGCTGGGGGCACCCATGTCTGCCCCTGCCTCGTGGCCTGATCTTGGGCTCAGCCCCCTCCGAGGCACCAGGAGCCCCAGGCCAGCACCCTGACCACGCCGGCCCTTTCCTCCATGTCCCCACATGACGTCTGCCGCTCGGTTAAATCAGATCTGTGCTGAATCCTGTCGTTTCCTAGGTAACATAAAAGAATCAGAGGAGTAAAAGCCACCCGGCGGGGCTGCGGCTGGGGGACAGCCAGCTCCCGCCGAGCCCAGCCTGCCCGGGTTCACTGCCCGGCTGACGAGGGCTCGTGGCACTGCGGCAAGCACCGGAGCATCCCTGATGGTCCGGTCTCATCCCACAGCCGTGTCGCCTGGGCCAGGCTCCCGCAGGGCAGCACCCAGTGCCTCTGCGCTGGCTGAACTGGGAGGATGCATGAGCGTGCCCGAAGGGTAAAGTCAAATGGCCTTGCAGCTTGGGGGGGGGAGCAGGACCTCGCTGGGGACACGCACGAGGAGGCTTGTAGCAGCCGCCTTGGGTAGCAGGATGCTGCAGCCATGCGGCCCCCAAAACTGGGCCACTTCCATGGGGAGGCAGCGGGATGTAAAAAACCAGCCCAGGGCCTTTGGTGGACACTGGGATGGGTCAGGGGTGGGATCACCCACGCTCAGCCCCTAACCCTGGCGCTCGGGCACTGAGGGCTTGCACCACCACGATGGGGCCGGGACTGGCACCAGTCTCCACCAGCACAGAGGGGTTGTAGAAAGAAGCTTTTCCCGTTACCCAGCAGCCGCTGCCTTCCCGGCTGCACAGCTCCGAGCTCTGCAATGCAGCTCACACCGCTTGTCTGCTGTGTGTGAATCCCATCAATATTTCATGGAGCTGCTTCCTCCAGGGGAAGGGCTGCTATCAGCTCTGGCTTTCTGCTGCTCCCACCAGCGCTCCTCTTCTTGCAGAGAACATCTGATTTTCTTCCACTGGCAGTCAGCACCCAACAGCCCCCTCTTTCCCTCCCCTTTCCGCATTAGCGAATATCGCTTTGCCTTTCAGGGGTTCTGCATCCCCCCCAGGAGCCGAGAGCTCTGAAATCCCTTTGGGTTCAAATCAAAGCACTGACCATACTCTACCCCTGGTTGCTCAAGCCCGCCCGCAGCAGAGGTGCCCAACACTACAGCTCCACGTTGGGCTCTCCAGGACCAAGCCGCCGGCCCTGCAGCTCCAGGATGGGTGACCAAACCCACCTACACCCCCCGTGCTCCCTCTCCAGCTCCGTGTCTAGCAGCAAAACAGTGAACACAGCCCCGTGACAGCTTGGTGCCAGCAGCCCAGACCTCATCTGACCGGGTCCAATCCACCCTGCCTGGCCACATCCAGCCCGCAGGTCCCAGCTTCTTCCAGAGCCCGGCAGGAGGTAAGGCAGGCCGTTTGCAGAAAAAGTTGCTTTTTAAATGCTAAGACTGCACTATTATAGCAAAGCTTCTTAAGGGATCAGCAGAAAACTTGCTTGCCGTAGGAAGACTTCGGTGAGCCGGGGTGATGCCAAGAGATGGCGGGAGCCTGGCACTGCCCGTAGCAAACACCCATCGCTCCGCCACGGTCTGCACCCAAACTGGGGCAGCAATCCTGGGCTGGCACCGGCACCCGCATCGCCCGCAGAGCCGGAGGACAGGCGACAGGGCACGGGGGAGAGGGGTGATGCACGAGCAACCCTGAAGCGAAGGCCAAATGCTCTCGCATCGCCCCACCACCCAATAAGGAACTAAAATAGGTGCGATTCATTGCAGGCTGCAACACCTCCAGCTCTGGGAGGCCCTTTATCTGCGGGAGGGATGAGGAGCCCGGGGAGGCTCCCACCGTGATCCGGCACAGCAGGCGGGGGAGCCCCTGAACCCGGCAGGCAGCGAGCACGGTGTGTCAGCAGGGTTGTTCATCCTGCGCTAAATCACTTTAAAACAATTACTAAATGAGTCTGCTTCCCCGCTATTCGAGATGCTGCGACGAAACGTTTTTAAGTGCAGTGAAACGGATGCAAGGAGATGGTACTGCGCGGCGCAGGGTTTTAATAAGCAGGGAAAATAGGCTTTTTCATAACCTTAAACTGCATCTTGCATAGATGTGAGGCTTCCCGTGGGGCCGCGCTGCAGCGAGAGCAGGCGTGAGCCCGCGGAGGGCCTGATCCGCAGGAGCCGAGCCCGAGGGGCAGCAGAAGCTGAGGGAGGCCAGACCTGGGGTGTGCAGGGGAAGCTGGTGGGGATTTGCCCCCTGATTTGGGGCGCAAGGGGTAGACCAAGATGCTGTGATCTCCTCCTCTGTCCATGTCCCACAAAGGCTCTTGCAAACGGGGCTGAAATGGGGCCGGAGCGAGCAGAGGGGGATCGCTGGGATGTGGGAGGCGGCAGGAATTTGCCCCCGCAAAGGGATTCGGAGAAGGTACATCGCTCTGAGGGGGAGACGCGTAAGCGCAGCAGAAGGGCTGGCTTTCAAGAGGTGTGGACGTAGGAAGAAACGGGCACGCGTCTAAAGGGGAGAGGCGTGGGTTGGGGAGCTGGCCCCGCGCCCGAGGGGCGACCCCGGGCTGCAGCAAAGCCCCTGGGTTTGTGCTGCAAGCGAAGCCCATCCCCGTGCCGCCGGCCCGCTGGGCTCCACAGGCTCCTGCTCTCGGCGCACTAATGAAATCAGCAGCGCAGCCCCACGGGACGTTCCCTCTGCACCAAGTGATGCAATTCAGCCCAGGGCTAATTGTTTTGCTCAGCCTCGAAAGCCCCCTCGTGACGCTTCCCCGGGCTCCTGGGAGTGGGCACTGGCCCTCGCGGAGCCCGGCACGGCCACCACCCCCTCCCCGTGGGGACAACTCTGCAGCCCAGTGTGAGCACCCACGCGATGCCCCCAGCGCTGGGGACCGTTTTGAGGCACAGAGCAGCCATCGCTCCGCAGCAGCTCAGCAGACGTGGTGGCTGGCCAGGCCCTGGCCCGTTCGGGTGTTTTCCCGCTGCGGTGGATAAGCGATGCCCACGCTGCCCTCGGGCTTCTCCCCAGTTACGGTAACCCCAGTTATAGTAAGCAAGGAGCAGCGCAGGCGCCTCTGCCTGTCCTAGGGCATCGTTCTCATTCTTCCTCACCAGTTCTTTTAACAGATTTCCCTACAGAACCGGCCGCAGCACCTGCCCAAAACGCCACGGAGGGCAGAGCGGGCTCTCTGAGTTGAGCAGAGTCAAACCGCTGTACGAAGCACACGCTGGAGCCGCCGGGAGAGGTGAGCACCGGCGTTACGTGGGCTGCTGGGGGCCAGGATGAGGCCTCGAGGCAAGCCCTCCCCCCAGGCAGGAACCCCCGCTTTCACCGGTCCCTACCCCCGTTTCCCCGGCGGCGGGGACCAGCGTGCACGGGACGGGGTTGACGTCAACGGGCTTTCAGCGGGGATGATGGATGGCACGGGAAAGCGCTCCGGTTCCCGAGCTGCTGGCTGGGAAACGCTGCCCGCCGCCCCGAGCCGGGGGGGGGCTCCGGTAAAGCGGCCCGGGGAACCCTTGGGGCTGGGGGCAGGGGGGGGGAGCACAGCCGCAGCCTCAATCTTTCAGTGCAGCAATGGTTTTGGGGTGTTCACGGCTCAGCTCGGAGCCTGGGGTATGCTTTAGGGGTGCCAGGCGCACTTCGTCAGCAACCACCTGGGGTCGGGACCCCTCTTTACCCCCTCTTCCCCCCCCTACTCCCGGGGCTACCGGAGCTCCCATCCCGCTCCTCCCCAGCACCGCATCTGCGACGGGCATCCCCCAAAATCACTGCCCACCCCCCCACCCTCCCCCCATCCTTCCCTCCCCCCCCCAGCCGCCGGCGGGGGATGCTCCGAGGCAGGTGCGGCCCCGCTCCCCGCCGGTAGCCGCGGGGACCCGAGGAGGTCGCCGTCCCGGTCGCCCGGGACCGCCCCACCCCGCGCCGCGGGCACTCACCGCCGCCGCCGCCGCCGCCCGTGCCCGCTCCTCCCCTCGGCCCCGGCGGGCTGCTGGGAGCGGCGGGCGGGGGGAGCCCCGGGCCGGGCCCCGACGACCCGGGCTGCCGCGGAGAGGGGGTGGCACCCCACCCCCCCAAGGTGCCACCCCCGGCCCCCAAAAGCTGCCCGCTGCATCCCACTCCCAGCAGCTGCAGGCTGAGAGCTGCCAGCTGGACCCCAAAAGCCCCCGGCACTGGACCTGCGGCTCGTCTGTCAGATCCTAAGGGCTGCTGGCTGCACCCTACACCCGCCAGACAGACCCCAGGAGCCTCCAGTTGGACCCTACACCCATCAGCCGGACCCCAAGAGCCATCAGCTGGATTCTACGTCCATCAGCTGGACCCCAAGAGCCACCAATTGGACCCTACACCCATCAGCTGGACCCCAAGAGCCACCAGTTGGACCCTACACCCATCAAACAGACCCCAAGAGCCACCAGTTGGACCCTACACCCATCAACTGGACCCCAAGAGCCACCAGTTGGACCCTACACCCATCAGCCGGACCCCACACCCATCAACTGGACCCCAAAAGCCACCAGCTGGACCCCACACCCCTCAGCCAGACCCCAAAAACCTCCAGCTGGACCCCACACCCATCAACCGGACCCCACACCCACCAACTGGACCCCAAGAGCCACCAACTGGACCCCAGGAACCTCCAGCTGGACCCCACACCCATCAGCCGGACCCCAAAAGCCACCAGCTGGACCCCACACCCCTCAGCCAGACCCCAAAAACCTCCAGCCGGACCCCACACCCACCAACTGGACCCCAAGAGCCACCAACTGGACCCCAGGAACCTCCAGCTGGACCCCACACCCATCAACTGGACCCCAAAAGCCACCAGCTGGACCCCACACCCCTCAGCCAGACCCCAAAAACCTCCAGCTGGACCCCACACCCATCAACCGGACCCCACACCCACCAACTGGACCCCAAGAGCCACCAACTGGACCCCAGGAACCTCCAGCTGGACCCCACACCCATCAACCGGACCCCAAAAGCCACCAGTTGGACCCTACACCCATCAGCCGGACCCCACACCCATCAACTGGACCCCAAAAGCCACCAGCTGGACCCCACACCCCTCAGCCAGACCCCAAAAACCTCCAGCTGGACCCCACACCCATCAACCGGACCCCACATCCACCAACTGGACCCCAAGAGCCACCAACTGGACCCCAGGAACCTCAAGCTGGACCCCACACCCATCAACCGGACCCCAAAAGCCACCAGCTGGACCCCACACCCCTCAGCCAGACCCCAAAAACCTCCAGCTGGACCCCACACCCATTAACCGGACCCCAAGAGTCACCAGCCAGACGCTACACACATCAGCTGGACTCCAAGAGCAGCCAACCTGACCCTTCTCCCACCAGCTGGACCCCAAGAGCTACTGGCCAGACCCCACTACTATCACCCAGACCCCGAGAGTCAGACCCCACACCCACCAACCAGACTCCCCGGGCTGCCCACGGGGCCGCAGGAGCCCTCAGCCAGACCTGAAGCTCTGCCAGCCGGTCCCTGCTCGGCCGCTGTGCCCACTCCTGCAGGAACACGGAAACCTCCCGGCTCCGATCCCTTTTGGCTGCCGCCGGGGTGCGAATGTGACCCTCCCAGGGGAGAAGGGGACGCAGGGGGCACTTCTTGTGCCCTGGTTCCTTCCGAAGAAGAAAGTTTGAGCGGAGAGGCAGCCCCAGTTCCCGCGCTGCCCTTGGACTCACCTTGGCTCCCTGAATACAAACACTAATTTCTCTCTAAGCAGCGTCTCTTTTTACTCATGGTAAATTCCTCCAGTGCTTTCCCTGCGTTGCCTCTGCAGGCTGCGCACCGCGGCTGACATGGAGCCACGTGCCAGAAGGAAACCCTCCTTTGCCGACTTTAACTCTGTCCCTCCCTAAAATAGAGTCGGGCTTGGATTTCCCGGTGGGTGGGGTCCCCATCCTCCCCATGCCGGGGGGGCCCAGGGCTGCCACCGGCATCCCGGGCTGCAGGGGACCACCCGGCCCTCCTGGGTGAAGCCTCCAGCCGGGGTCCCCGTATCAGGGTCAGAGCCTGGGGGGTGATTTGGGACCACGGCCCCAGGGCGGGTGGGTGAGTACGGTGCTCAACAGGCATCTGTCGGTGGAGGGAGGATGGGGGGAAAATTCCCCCTGCGTCAGCTGCTGGAGGGGAAGGGGATGCAGGGGAGAGCCGGGATGCAGAGGGTCCCGGCGTCGTGCACGGGAAAGCTGGTTAAGGAGCAGGAATAGCTGAAGGAACTAAATATGGAAACTTGGATAAAACATCGCTGAAGTAGGGAGATGGTTTCCTAACAGAATTCAAAGCATATAAACAAACTCAGGGAGGGAGAGAGGTTGTCTGGAGGGGGCCTTTATGAGGAATATTTAGAAAAACTAGCTGAAAATATCTTGGTAGGGAAGGCCATTTCATCAAAGCAAATTTTCAGCTTTGTGGGGAAAGTGTCAGTCCTGGGAACATATTGTTTTGGGGGAAGAGATAATGAAAACACGTGCCTTGACGGTGAAAAGCCTCTCCTTCAAATATTTTTTTTTCAGCTGCCACAGTTTGATGATAAAACATGAAGTTTCATGGCAATAATAAAACAATAATGACAAAGTTTTCAGCTCAATTGGTAGGAAACTTTCTGACCAGCTCTGTCTTCTGCTTCCCTTGGCAGGTTGCTCCGGGATCCTTCACTGACCTCCCGCCGGGAGCGACTCGGTGGCTCATTCCCACGTGCTCGAGACCGGGGGTGTGCGGCACCGACAGCCCCCGCAGCCCGGCCCCTGGGAGGCGTTTCCCCGGAGCAGGGTGGACAAAAGCCCCGGACTTGGTCTTGCGCAGGGATCCCATCAAGGCTCTCCCATCTCTAATGTCTCTTAATTCGTTAAGGAGCTCAGCTTTGCAGTTTGTCGGCTCCTCACCACCTTCTCCTTTACGGTTTGGTTTTGTGCCGGCGAAAAGGGGGTGGTTTAATGCGATTATTCTGGTAAAGACAACATAAGAGGATTGGTGGGGCTTGGCTTTACAGCCCTGCGGGGGCTATCGGCAGCATGTGGCACGGGGATAAACTGGCTGTGGGTTAACAGAAAGCACGGAAGAAGCTTTGCAAGCCCTGCCATTGTAGGCACCCCAAACCGTGGTGTCCCTACAAGGGGGACCCCGGGATTCTGCAGACCCCGTGGGTGCCACGTGCTGCCTTCACCCTGTCTCTGCACGGCAGATGTCTGCCCGCGGCGTGGCTGCTGCTCATCCTGGCGAGAGGTGGATGTTATAGGCGACAAAAAACACAAAGAAGGGGGCAGAAACGTGGGGGGACTGGGGCTGCCCTGCGGCTGGGCGTTCGGGGAGGGAGTGGGGCTGCACCTCGTGAAGGGTTATGGGGAGAGGATGGTTCGTGCTGGGTTTCTGCAGCGTGTTTTGCAGAGGCTTTTTTTCCAGAATCGTGCTGCAGGTGCTAGTCCCCGTCCAGAGAGCCAGGCTGTGGGGCGGGCCCCGGGTGCGCAGAGGGGTTTGTCCCTCGCCCACGGGGACGAGCACGTTGCTGCCGGGGCTCGGGGAGGTTGTCGGTGCTGCGTCAGCTCTGCAGCTTGCTCTCTCGCTCCTGCGCCGTGTCCCACTTCTCGCGGGAGAAGGAGCAGCGCCAAGATGCTGTAAGATCTCCTTTCACCATTCCGTAGGGAGCAATCGGGTCACGCGGGCTCACCAGTACGCTACTGGGAAAGCCAGTGCGGTTGATCTGTGCTGGGCACCAGCCAGGCAAGAGGCAGTAGCACACCATCTGCTTCTCCTCGGGATGCTGCAGGCACTGGGAAACCCGCTGTCCTGCAGCGGGACCGGACAAGCTGAACCCGATCCCAGCCCTGAGCTGGGTGCCGCATCCTCTCCCCACTGCCGCAAGCTGGAAGTGCTCACCTGGGAACGGGGCCCCCCAGTTAGAGCTGGGCTGAGCGTCTTGGCTCAGAATGGCTCATCTGCAGCTCTGAAGGTTTCAAGCTTTCATAACTCTGGGGGTTTTTAATGACTTGTCGCCTCTGCCCTGGGGACGGAGGGCTGGGAGAACCAAGGAGAGCGTAACAGTTGTCTGGGGGCTCCTATCTGGGCCAGAGAAGGTAAAAGCACTTTGCTGTTCTGGGAGCCCAGTTCAAACCTCAGACTACCCGAGTACAAAAGCTGCTGGTGACCCACAGCCCCGGGGCTGACACTAGATTGTCCTTCAGGTCTTTTGGTCTCCCAATGAATCCTTTGGCAACACCCAAACCGCCATCTCTCCCACATCAAATTATCTTTCTGGGTTTTTCTTTCAACACAGAAGACAAGGTTTCTATAGGGCCTTCAAAAATGTGTGTACATATACAGGCATATAGATACATACTCTTAACTTAAATATTATATAGATGGTCCCCAACTGAGAGATGTACCAGGTGGGACGTGGCAGTTGCAAACTGGGTTAGGAGCCTGGTTTGCAGCCCAGCATCAGGTGTGAACCGAGACGTGGCACAGCGGGGCAGCCTGCAGGACTAATGGGCCCTAAAATCTGGGCCGAAACAGCCTGGTCTTTCCCCCCCCCAGATCTACGAGATAGCATGTCCATGCAGAATTTACACCCAGGTTTTTCTTTCCTAAACTTTTCTGCACTTGGGGATAACTGCCACAAAGCAACAGCTTATTTAGGGTGAGTCCAGAGGACTGCTGTAAGGGGAGGGGGCTGAGCTGGGGCGAAGGGCCAGGGATGTCACCTCTGCTCCAAGAGATGATTTTTCTAAAGTGTCAAATTCAGCCCTTCCAAAACCTGGCCCAGGGGCGCAGTCAGTGCAGCACCGCTCCTCAGGGTCCCATCGCTGGCGCAGGAGGGAATTGGCTGGGCAGGTAGCAGATGTTGGTTAAGTGCAAACTCAACAAACCACAAACGAATTTATGCAAGCACCAATAAAGCAGAGAGGGGAAAAGCGCTTGCTGCTTTTTTTTTTCTTTTTTCTTTTTTTTTTCCCCTTGTTTTTCTTGGCTCCTCCACGTTTCGGCCAGGCTGACACAGAGACCTCTGTGTTCGCAGATGGCTGCGATCCTTCTTGGGGAGGCCGAGCGGCTCCAGACAATGCCTCCATTGGTGCTGAGAGAGCAGGTGGGGAGGAAACGGAGCATCACGGGCACAGCGCAACGGCACACAAAAGGATTCAGCAGGAGGAGGAGCGGGGTATTGTGAAGAAACCCCTCGAGTGAGGCCTGGTCCCTGGCAGGAAAAACAGCTGGTTGGTTTGACAGCTGTGCCTGGCAGCAAAGTCAGCAGCAGTGCCGGCTAATTGATTTATAAATGAGTCATTTTGAAGAGGGGCCGTATAGCATTGCATATAATCACCCCCAAATGCTACAACAAAAGGAGATTAGCTTAGAGGTTGTGAGAATAATTAAAAAAAACAAAACAAAACAAAAAAACAACAAACAACTAGCATGGCTTTTGTTGCTCTTGGCTGCCTTGCAAGTGCCCTGAGATCACAAAGTTGCAAGACTTTCAATAAAACTGCAGGAATTTGCTGCAAGATATCTCCTACTTCAGTGCCAACACGTAGCCTTCAGGGCAGCTGAGCTCTGAAACCACAGCGTACGCAGGAATTTGTCCCATTTCCTACATTTGGGCAAATGTCACACAACAGAAACCACAGATCTGAACTCTCTGTGTTTGCAGGACGCATGCGGGCTTTTCTCCTCTCTTGGGCAGGGTGCAGAGCCCAGTGAACCCCCAGAAACTTCACCAGCAGACGTCACCAACTTTGAAACCCCCCTGGAAAGGGTGAGGGGAAGCGCAGCAGCCGCATAGGACCTGACTTTCTTTTCCCCCCATCTCAAATGACATTTAAAGCACCAGCCAGGCAAATCCTCTTCCAAGTTGTAATTTGGATGCAAACGATTTGAGCACCAGAAAGCCAGTAAGAAGGCAAAGATGGTGTCACTTTTCAAGACGCACTTTTTCATGGGAAAAATATTGAAGCAGCATGAGTCACGGTTCAGCGTAACATGTCCCCGAGCCAGAAAAGCTCCCTGGGAAATGAGATAGCTGGCTGAACCCAAGCACAGACTTTTGCTTGAATCGGCTCCAGCTCGGGCAGGATAGTAGCAGAAAGTTATCCTGCGATGATAGATCAGAGGCCTGTGTGAGGAGTGTTGGACAGCTCACCGAGGGTTTAATTTGGACAGCTCTGAGGGTCATGCCAGGCATGGTTGGAAACCTCCCTGCTGAGCCAAGAGGAAGAGCAACCCCTGTGCCCTGGCTGAGGCGCGCAGAGCTCCGGGAGGACCCTCGAGTGGGGATGGTTGTGCAGCCAGGACCCCCCGGGACAACGAGCAGCGGCCACAGCTTCACACAGCGCCTCAAGGGAGAGGCCGGCAGCGGGCTCACTGCCCCTCGCCAGCCCGCCTCGGCCCTGCTGGAGCTAGACCCGGCTCAAACCCTGCCGCACCCGGGGGCTTGGCTGCCCTTCGAGGCACGGCCGGTGCCCGGGGCCCGAACGCCCCGGCCGCAGGCAGCCGCCCCTCGCCCCGGCTCATGGCGCGCCTCCTCCTTCCCCTCTCCCTCAGCGGCGATCTCGCGAGATCCGCCCCGCGGGTCAACGCGCCTGCGCAGTGTGGCGGACCAGGGGAAAGGGGCGGAGCCTCCGCCCCGCCGCCTCACGGGTCCGCCGCCATCTTGTTTCTCGGCCGCTGGGCGCTCGCTCCGCTCCGGCCGCCCCCCCCCCCCCCCTTTCCCCCTCCTTCCTCCTCCTCCTCTTCCTCCTCCTTCCCGCCTCCCGCCAGCCGGGTCAGAGGCGGAGGTCGCGGCGCCGGCCGCCCCGGTGAGTGCGCGGGGAGCGCGGCGGCGGGAGCGGGGTGGGGGAGGGGGTTCGCCGGCGGCCGGTGAGGCGGAGCGGGGCGGGGGCGGCCACCCCCCCCCCCATACGGCTCCACTCCGATTGGGGGAGCCGCCCCGCGCCCGCTGATTGGCCCGCGCCGGGGAGGCGGGCGAAGGGAGCTGCGCGCTGATTGGATACCGAGGAGCGGACCGGGGAGAGGACAGGAAACCCAACGGTTTCCCCGCGCGGCCCCGGGGTGAGGAGGGGGGGGGGGGGGCGGTGCTGCCTGACGGCCGGCGGACAGGACAGGGCGCGGAGGCCTTCCCGGGGTGCCCGGTGCTCTTCCCGGGCAGCCAGCGGGTGTTGGCGGCGGCAGGCCCGATCTGAGGGGCCCCGGCAGGGGGGATGTGTTGTGGGAGTTCGGTTTCACCTTCTGGATTTGTCGTATTTTACCGATCGGTGGGGTTTTTTCGCTCCACAAGCCTTAAGGGGGCTTCTCCAGAGCCTGTCCCAACACCGGGTGGGAAGAGGGGCAGAACCCAAGCCAAAGCGGTCGGAGATAATTTGTGGGTCCTTGGAAAATATCTGAGGGATTTTTTAATCTCTGCTTGAAACCCAAGTACACAGAGCAGTGAAAATATCTGCATGTAAATACAGTCTCCCTAGATTCTGCTTTTTCCTGAGCTGAGAAAAAAAACAATGCCCCCAAGTAACTGGTAAAGCACCACGCATTAAAAGCAGCATGCGTATGGCATGGATGAAAGTTAATTCTTTTTGGCTGGGTTGGATTTCATTCAGGTCAGGTCATTCTCCAGCTGCATCATCAGCTGTGCAGGTGTTGTGGGGGGCAGGACAAGGGGGGTGGCAGGGCCACCTTACACTTTGTGTGGGCTGAGCTGTGTCCCTGGGCTGGCTCCGTGACCCGGAGCTCTGTGACCAGGTTGCTCACGGAAGAGGAAACAGTAACGCTGGCTACTTCTTCTGGAATGTGACTCTTCATAGCGCCTTTTGAGACACTTATCTTGTTGAGTAACGTATTTTCCACATTGTTATGAATAAATATCTCTTGTCTGTCTCAATAGCTGTCTGAGTACGGGCAATTAAAAGGAAAGTCTCACATTGGCTTCACTTGCGATGCAGAGCAAACAGTCTGCAAGCATGTGGTTAACTTTTCCTCCAGTCCTACATCCAGAAAATAGACCTCCTGGGTCATCAGACATCATTTGCTGCTGTTGCCCTTGGCAACATTGCATGTCTTTTCTTAGGCTTACCCATGCCCTTCTTAAATTAGGTTACATTTCTGGACTAGGCTACACCTCCTGGATCTGTGTTTATCTTTAGTTGAACCGTGCTCTGGTACCAGCCTAAACTTACCAGGGCCCAGCTCACTGTCCCTTAGGTATCGGTCATTGTGGTGCCAACCTGATGTAATCTCACAGCTGGCATCGCACGCTCTGTCCTAACCGTGTTGAGTTTTTTGTCACTATTACAAGGGCTCGTTTGAGACGCTGGCTCATGCAGGGGCTCGTGGCCTTCCAGCTGTGGCGACCACACCGAGTGGAGGATTCGGACACGTTTTGGGATGAACACAGAGTTCTTGGTCAAAGCAAAAAGTAGTGCCTCGAGTTGGAGCTGTGAAACCCCCGTGGGGCCTGAGAAGCGGGTGTGAGCCCGCTGGGTTGGGGGTGGCCTTGAGCCAGTCATTTATCCTGCACGGCCAACCCCTTCCCTCTCATTATTTTGTACTTTATAAAGATAGGTCCTCTTTGTCAGTGTACGTTCTCATGTCATATGTGAATAATGTGCAGTGAAACTTTCTTGGAAGTGCCACGACCTGCAAAATGCAGTGACAGATGACAGTTACTGGGTTAAGAGCATTCCTTTCTCCTTATGTCTTCCTAGTAGCTTTGTAGTTAAATCTTTCAAGTGGGATTTCGGCAATTCCTGAGTGTCAGCTCAACTGCCCTGCATGATTGCAGAGCAAGAACAGCTGCAGTGATTCAAATAGACCCCTTACTGCAGGGCTTCCCAAAATTAATTTTTTTTTTTTTTTTTTTCACTGTCATGAAGAATTAATGTGAAATGCTGTGAGAGCAGTAGCTGTTCCCATGGCTGTGCTGGCTCAGACCCACGCCCAGGAGAGGGACTCTGGCTCCGTAAGTGACCAGGGCTCGCGTCGCGGTGCAAGGAGGCACATGGGCATGTGTTTGGGCACTCGTTACCACTCGAAATACCAGCAAGGCATTCCTCTCCTCTGCAGGAAAGGCAGTGGGCTGGTCTGGGTTTGTTTTGCATACCGCCTGAAAGTACCTTGCATACCTCTAATAGTAAGCATACCGCAGCTCAGAGGCCCTTGCTTTTATCTCAGGAATGACAGAGGAAGAGAACAAAGCATTGCAAAGCGTTATTACTTTTTTAAGGCACGTTTTAACCAATTAATTATATTTAATAAATCATTGGGAAGAGTTATTTTTAAAATAATCCCTCCTTGCTATCTGATTCAAGCTAATTTAATCTTCAGGACTAGTAAAGCATCAGCTGCGCTTTGTAGTATTTTTTCCTCTGCCACTCTGTATATAATCCTGTAAGCACGTTATTTTCAAGCAGTAAATTCTGTCTCGGAATGCAGCTCGAAATCCGTTCGGGTGTTGGGAACTTGCTGGAAGTTGGTGTGTCTGCATAGGTTAAGCTATCGTCTGTGCTTCGTAAACACACCGTTCCTAATTCTCCTTGACCCGAGTTACCAAAGTGTTGTTGGAGGCCCCGAGAACCGCGTCGCAGGCTGAGCGCAGCTGGCGGGATGTTGTGTGTGTGGTTAAAGCTGCGAAGGGGAATCTCCGGGAGGTGAAAGCTCTCCCAGCATTTCCTGAGGCGTCCTGCAAGGGGGGACGTGGCGAGGGGTCAGGGTCAGCCCCAGGATGGCATCTGTGCGGACAGCCGCCTGCTAAACCAGGGAGTTTAGCTGTCCGAAAAGCAGACTTTTTTCTTTTTTCCCCCAACCCAACTTCCCAAAATTTTCAAGTCACATCAGGGCCTGCGCCCATTTGATCGGGGTCGTTGCGCAAACGCGCCCACTGGATCAAAGGTGGGAAGCGCCAACCGGAGTTACCCGGTGTGTGAGTTACCGGTGCGTGGGGTGGTGCATGGTCACACCCCCCCCTCGTTCCCCACCCGACTGACCGGGAACTAGCCCGCAAAAACCCGCCTGGTGCCTCCGTGGTTCCCGTTTCGAGGGGAAACCATTCGTCGTGCGGCCTAGCTCGGGGACGGCCCCGCTCCCCTCCGTGCTGGGGAGTCGGCAATCCCCCCGCGGCCCGGGAGTGCGGGGGGGGGGGGGGGGTGGGGGGGTGGTGTTACCGGGGGGGTGTCACCGGGATCCCCCCGCGCCGTGCTGCCAGCGCGGGAGTTTGCAAGGCCACGTGCCGCCCGCGCGCTGCCCCGTGACCCGCCGGGGCGTATCGAGCCGGGTGGGGGGGGGGGGGGGAGTGGTGTGCTCTTGCTGGAGTGACAGGCGCGCGGGCCAATCGGCAGCCATCCTTCCCCCCACCCCCTCCCCGCTCTGTCTGTTTGAATAGGAGCCGAGCGGCCAATCGGAGCCGCCGGGGCGGGCGATGGAGGGCCCGGCCGCGGAGGGGGCCGCGGGCGGGGAGCGCGGCCGGGCGCCGCTCTGACCCCTGCGCCGCCTCTCAAGGTAACTTTAAAACAGGAAGTGGACGGCGAGGTTGCGCCGCCGGCGGCAGCCAATAGGCGCGCGGGGACGCGCCCCCCCGCGGCGGCGCGCAACCAATGGGTGCGGGCGGGGCGGGCCGGGCGGAGCAGCAGGGTAGGCTGAGCGGTGGTTGTTAAAGGGGCCGGCGGCCCGGTCCGGCGGGGACGCGGAGTCCCGGCAGGCAGGGGTCAGCTCAAAGACAAAGGGATGGCGGG